GCAACCATTAGCTGAATGTACTATCAATAAAATCCTGAGTCGCAAGTACTCACCTTAATATTTAAAAAAAAAAATATTTTAATATTTAAAAATTTATATTTTAATAAATTTTTAATTAAATTTAATAATTTTGTTATTAAAATCAAAAAGATCTATTTTACAACTTTTACTTTTTTTTGATATTAAGGTGATTTTTTAATCTTTTAACTTTATTAACACTTTTTGAATAACATAATTCTATTAGAATTATTATAAAAAAAGTATACAATTGACTATATATATAAACTTTTTAATTAATTATTTAAAAAATCTGCCTAAAGGTTCCTTACTAGTTACTATATTTAACACTTTTGCTTGAATGTTTAAAATTAGAAACCTAATGTTAATTTTTCCTAAAGAACATTAAAAGCCTAATAACAAATTTTCTCTTAACAACACTCATAATAACATAATTTTATAAAAAATAATTAATTGTATTTAAAAAATTAATTATTTATAAACTAAATATATACTAATAAAGTAACAAAACTTTAATAATTTTAGGGTTTATTTTATAAATCTGAACTATAAAAAACCACAAAATCAAACTTTATCTTTACAAAAATACTTACTTTTTAATAAACATTTACAAACATCCTTTGCTAATAAAAATATCAAGAAAGTTACAAATATAACATAATATCCTTTGAAAGAGGATCAGAAATCTCTTACTCAACTAATAAGAATATATAAGACGGCTAATACAAATGTCTTACATGAAAAAAAAAGTCAAATACTATTAACATTATATTACGTAATATCTGCGACTCTCCATATGATGTTTCGTCGTTCGATTGGTATACTGTCACGTGCCTGATGAAGAATATGAACTTTGAATACTTCAACTAATGCAATATCAAAAATATGCGATACAATGGAGTATATCATATTTATATTTTTGTTGCCATTCTTGAAGAATGTTTGGCATCTCTTCATCTAGATCGGTAACACGTTCATTATCAATCTATTTTGCAAGTTTCGCGAAAATCGATTAGGATTACCACCATTCGCGTTGGGTTTACTAATAATTTATTAAGCAAACAAAATTGCGAACAAATTTACTCAAAAAGATGTAATTAAATTTATACAAACCATCTGTACAAGCTGCAATATAGCTCGTCCACCAAGCATAGCATCTTCATGATTATCTTTTATATCGATGTTAATAACATGTGCTGGCTTATTTCGCAATCCTCCCCTCTCTGTCATATCTGTAAATAAATAAATATCAGTTACAAAAAAAAATATATAGATGTATAATAAAATAAAGCACCTTCACAGATGACATCATAACATCGCTCTTCGCAACTTATAATAACATCAAAACTATCTTTAGCATCTGTTGACCATTGTTCAGGGGCTAATTTAATTTTACGATTCCGATCTAGCATGTC